GCAGCTTCAAATTGGAGGCGATACGTTTCCCATGTTGTCTGCCCGTCAAACGTGGGTGGTTTAATGATCTTGCTAGTATGGATTTGTGAAATTGGGTATTAAATATGGCTTGGTTCGATTACAGATGAGGACGAGGTAGTGTTTTCAGCTTCTCTGTTGCTTATCGAAGCTAGGCTACGAATTCTTCTTTCTAACTCAACTAGTTCAGTTCTAATTTGCCTTTCGAACTCTACTATAGCCTTTTCTGTTGTTTTACATTATCTCGTTGTTGTTCTAAATTAGTTTTTAAATACTCTTGTTGTTGTTTTAAAAGATCTACTCTAATTTTGAGCTGACCAATCTCTTGCTTAAAGGTTTCCTGGATTTTTAGCAAAGCATTCATAATTTCTACCTGAGCTTTTTTATGCCTCTCTTCCTTCTCTTTTTCCTCGTCCGTTCTGCGTCTTTTCTTCTTCACGTCTCGCTTTACTCTCTCCTCCTCTTCTTCCTTCCTTCGCCTTTTCTTTTCATCCTCTTCTTCCTTCCTAAGCCTGTCCTTTTCCTCCTCTTCTTCCTTCTTACGCCTTTCCTTTTCCTCTTCTCGCCTTACTCTCTCCTCATCTTCTTTCTTACTACGCCTTTCCTTTTTCTCTTCTCGCCCTACTCTCTTCTCCTCTTCTTCCTTCCTACGCCTTTCCTTTTCCTCTTCTCGTCTTACTCTCTCCTCTTCCATCTTCAAAAAACATGCTGGTGGGCCTGAAGCATCCATGCCTGCTTCGTACTTAGTGGATCTAGTATTTACCATAAACTTTTACTTTATATCCCACCGTTGTCACCAATGTTACGCAGGTTTTTGGTATCCCAATTTATTTCAACTCGACTTTAACAACAATTATACAACTGATAACATTAACATGTAACGTCTATCATAAAACTGAAAACTGACGTCAGGATCATCGTTATATAGCTTTCTTGACCCTTCCTGAACCTTCCCGAACTGTCGTCTAGAATATTCTTGACAGGTAGTGACATTTCCAGACATTTCTGGACTAATCTATCTTCTTTTACTTGTACTTTTACTTATGACGTTCGTAGCACACTGTAGGGCGATAAGTAATATTCCACTTCTTTTTCTATCTGTACGTTTCCTATAATAGCCGCAGGCTACTGCAGGGTGCCGCGTAATACTATTAAGCTTTATATAATTACACTATTCTCTTAATATCCACAATTAGGACTATATTTAGTTAAAATTGTATCGGCAATACATTTTTATATATTATAACAAAAAACTGCTCTCCTGAAAAAACACGCAGAGTGGAGATTGCCAACTTTGATACTAGTAGACTAATTTATTAAGGTACTCATTCGGTGTTTCCTGCAGAAACATACACTTGAGAGTATTTATAATAGCCATTTTCTCTTTCATATTGTTATTGTCTTATTTGTCTGGTCCACAATCTGGTGGATCAGAATTGTTTAGAATGGAACAGAAAATGGTTAGGATGCGCCCATAGACAGTCACGTTTAAATACTATTGACATTCAGTCTACCTAACTCTATTTGATTGGTACTGACGCAGATGCGTGCCCAAACGACCGAGACACGGCAAGATATTAGAGAGTTATTGCAAGTTCACTTAAGGTCAGTCACTATTAGTGCCGCTCTTATTTTGACATCTGAGCATGCGTAGATTACTTACATTCTAGAACTGACTTTAAAAAAGATTGTGCCTGTACAGTTCATCAAATTTCTAGAGGCTTTCGACGGCTAGACAGAGAAAGCACTACTGACAGGCATCCCGACGGATTTACGCAATGAAAGAACACTCTGCGCATCAAGTATTTCACTATTTCATTCAGACGTAAATGTCAGATGTAAATTTCGCTAAAACATTTCTTTTATTTTCGTTTGTGTTTTTTGCTCATTACAGTTTAATAGAACCTAAGTATGGAGTTTAATAGCAAATTAAGAGGCCGCGTGATTAACAGTCAATCTCGCGAAATAATAGCCAATGTTATAGAGTTTATGAGAAGAGAAGGAAACTTTAATTCACCTTCAATACCATTTAAAAATGTAAATGATCGTGTTGCTGCAGCCACAGGAGTATCTAAAAATACTGTCGTCCGCATTTCTGGAGAGAAAAAAAGAATCGATAACCGTGAGATATCGGAATTTTCATCACCAAGAAAAACCATTAAAAAACCAAAAACAGTTAATGATATAGATGAAGCTGCACAAGAATCAAATTTTATTTTTTTATTATTAGATAGCTATTTTTGTTTCTGAGTTGTGTTCATTTACAGGCTCAATTTTTTTCCGTTTCTCCTTTTTGATTTTATATGGGGTTTCAAGTTGTTTTTGACTTATTTCGACGTAAATCACAACACACTTTTTTAATAAAACAAACAATTACAAAAAATTGATATGAAACCCATGAAACTACCAACAAAAATGTAAAGTTAGCTTCCGTACTAGAACATGGTGTCATTCGTCGAGATAATTTATCGTTTTGTTTAATAGATCAAGAAATGTAAATATTCCCCTGTTATTTTTTATAAAATTATAAGAGAAATAAATTTTTTTCTTAATAGTATAGTTTATTATTTTGTAGAAAAACAAAATTTCGAAAATTTTAGTAATGTTTCAGAAACAACCGTTATTAATAATAGGTACCATTTTCCTTAATAAGGTAGAAATAAAATATAAACTATTTCCACGATTTACAAAGGCCTACAAAAAAATTATAGGTATTTTCCGCTATCCTATAAAATTTATATTTTCTGACTCAATTTCAAAAGGTTGAAGGAATTCCAAAACACCTTTTATGGCATAATAATTATTTTCAATTCTACATACTATCTTTAGATGCTTTTAAAAACGTTCTAAGAAAGTCCAATCAGACCAATTTAATCCCTAAACTATTCCACACTTTTAAAATTTAATTACCTAAAAATATTAAAAACTATTTAAAATAACTTGTTTAGCAGACTGTACAATAGCTATCTTAGTCACACGTAGCGCGTTCTCTGTCTGGGCGTCGAACACCTCTAGAAATTTGATGAACTGTACATGCTATTGTACAGTCTGCTAAACAAGTTATTTTAAATAGTTTTTAATATTTTTAGGTAATTAAATTTTAAAAGTGTGGAATAGTTTAGGGATTAAATTGGTCTGATTTGACTTTCTTAGAACGTTTTTAAAAGCAGCTAAAGATAGTATGTAGAATTGAAAATAATTATTATGCCATAAAAGGTGTTTTGGAATTCCTTCAACCTTTTGAAATTGAGTCAGAAAATATAAATTTAATAGGATAGCGGAAAATACCTATAATTTTTTTGTAGGCCTTTGTAAATCGTGGAAATAGTTTATATTTTATTTCTACCTTATTAAGGAAAATGGTACCTATTATTAATAACGGTTGTTTCTGAAACATTACTAAAATTTTCGAAATTTTGTTTTTCTACAAAATAATAAACTATACTATTTAGAAAAAAATTTATTTCTCTTATAATTTTATAAAAAATAACAGGGGAATATTTACATTTCTTGATCTATTAAACAAAACGATAAATTATCTCGACGAATGACACCATGTTCTAGTACGGAAGCTAGCTTTAAATTTTTGTTGGTGGTTTCATGGGTTTCATATCAATTTTTTGTAATTGTAGTTTACACGTACATATACCTCTTAACACTTGTTTGCTTTATTAAAAAAGTGTGTTGTTGTAATTTACGTCGAAATAAGTCAAAAACAACTTGAAACCCCATATAAAATCAAAAAGGAGAAACGGAAAAAAATTGAGCCTGTAAATGAACACAACTCAGAAACAAAAATAGCTATCTAATAATAAAAAAATAAAATTTGATTCTTGTGCAGCTTCATCTATATCATTAACTGTTTTTGATTTTTTAATGGTTTTTCTTGGTGATGAAAATTCCGATATCTCACGGTTATCGATTCTTTTTTTCTCTCCAGAAATGCGGACGACAGTGTTTTTAGATACTCCTGTGGCTGCAGCAACACGATCATTTACATTTTTAAATGGTATTGAAGGTGAATTAAAGTTTCTTTCTCTTCTCATAAACTCTATAACATTGGCTATTATTTCGCGAGATTGACTGTTAATCACGCGGCCTCTTAATTTGCTATTAAACCCCATACTTAGGTTCTATTAAACTGTAATGAGCAAAAAACACAAACGAAAATAAAAGAAATGTTTTAGCGAAATTTACATCTGACATTTACGTCTGAATGAAATAGTGAAATACTTGATGCGCAGAGTGTACTTTCATTGCGTAAATCCGTCAGGATGCCTGTCAGTAGTGCTTTCTCTGTCTAGCCGTCGGAAGCCTCTAGAAATTTGATGAACTGTATTTGTGGATGTTTAAGGACAGCAGTTAGTGGCAACTATAGTTTTCGGGTGCGGTCGCCAACATTCGTATCAGTTCTAAGTTTTTAAATAATAAATATATAATATCATCGCCATCTAAACCTTTTAAAATGGTAATTTCTAGTGCCTCTTCCATATTATGTACTATTATAAACAAAAAAGATGAACTGTAATTTAAAATTTTTAAAATGAGGTTAGAAATATGTATAAATCTTATTTTAGCATGGAATATATTTGCCTCTAATGATGCTGTCACTATTAGTGAATGATGTTATAGAAATTTGCAATATCTCTCTATGTATTAGGCTAATTGCTGCTGCCTCCTGCGCTTTTCCTACATTGAACAGCATCTCAAACTTTACTTAAAACAGTAGTATCTATGCATCTTTCTTGTCTCTGATGTTTGCAGCTGTTCGACGAGTATTGTCTAACACCGGCGGATATAAGAGAATCACCGCAGATGTTATCAACTATATCAAATTTGTATGCTGGCTGGTAAGCTGAGGAGGATGCACAATGGTGCCGTGGGGCACGCGTTACAGAAACAGATAGTGATCTTAGAAAAAATTATATATTGATCTCACCCTATATAAGCAAATAATTATCTCTATAATAAGTAGTAATAAAATATCTAATTAGTTACTTGATTTTCTATAAAGTATTTGCAATAAACGTAAAATGAGATAAGATAAACGAGATAAACCTCGTTTTGTATAGCAGATCAATAGAACCCAGAGGATGGAGTCAGTTTAAAATCCAGATGTTAGATAAATTTATTAAACTAAGGAGTGCTAGTTAGTGGTGGTCTTGTATACAGGGTGTTTATTGTAGATAGTGAGGATTTATTATTAATATTATTACTGGTAAGTAAGGTTCGTTTGCTAAAATTGTCATTTTTTTGACAGGATACATGTACACATTCATTTTCACATACCTATTGAGCTAAATATGTAAATTTCATGATTTTAATACAAATATTATCCAAAAGTAAGATAGTATTAGTGTCACCTACGGAGAATACGGTGATTGATGGTTTATTTATTAAATTAATTACATTTTCATTGTATTTCATGTATCTTCACTTTAAATAGGTTATTCCTCGGGTTATTCACATTTTACAACTTGATCTATTGATTAGTGTAAGAGACATCGATCAAAATCTAAACGAATCAAAATTAAAATGAATTTTTTTTTATGAGTTTATTACTAAGCGTGTAAGGAACAGGATAGTCTTTAAATAAATTTTTTTTAACTCGTGGCTGTTATACTTAATTTAATAATGGTAGAAATCATTAAAATTTCAACTTAACAAAAAATATAATCAAAAATGAAAATTAATATTTTTTGTAATACTTTTTTTCAATTTAAGCAGCTTAACTATAGCTTTAAACGGAAAATACTTATCTCATGAACAAATAATTTGTGCCAAACCTAATTTGGGCGTACCACAAGGTTCTATGCTGGGACCTCTCTCATCTGTAGTGTACTAAATGCAACTTAATGATGGCTATATGTAACCCGTATCGCAATGTATTTTTTTTTTCATGTAAGATGCCATTTTAAATTTAACTTTTAAAGTTTATGATGCTACTGACAGAAACGAGGCATGTCTGTTTGTTTCTAGATTTGGCGAAGGCCTTTGTCACGGTCAGCCGCAATAAACTCTTGGAGACGTTAGGAAATATAAGCTTAAGAGGCTACGGTCCAAAATTATTTAGAAGATATCTTTCTAATGGCAACACGTTATAAAAATAAACGATAGAATCAGTAATCAAGCTAAGGTTACATATATGGAGTTCCACAGTGCACAATTCTGGAAAAAGAAATTTTATGTGGAAATCAATTCTTTAGAGGAAGAATTTTTAAGGGGATATCAATTCTTTGGAGAAATCATTTCTTTGGAGAAATAATTTCTTTGGAGAAATCATTCATACGAATTGGGCTCCTGTTGGGAAACTAAGAGTCAATTAACAATTTGTTGTGACTAAGCACTGATAATGGCCTATACATGTAAATTCTGACTGACCTGGTTAAGAGTAATAAATTACATTATTAAACTGTTACACAGGTTTTTAATGTCGCAATTTATTTCAACTCAACTTTAACAACAATTATACAACTGATAACATTAACATGTAACGTCTATCATAAAACTGAAAACTGACGTCAGGATCATCGTTATATAGCTTTCTTGACCCTTCCTGAACCTTCTCGAACTGTCGTCTAGAATATTCTTGACAGGTAATGACATTTCCAGACATTTCTGGACTAATCTATCTTCTTTTACTTGTACTTTTACTCATGGCGACCGCAGCACCCTGTAGGGCGATGAGTAACATTCCACTTCTTTTTATATCTGTACTTTTCCTATAATAGCCGCAGGCTACTGCAGGGTGCTGCGTAACAGTACATATTATACTTTTTATTCTATTTTCCGATGGTTTTGTAAAGTAATTTTAATTCCATGTTTAGTTTCTGCTTGCATAAAAGTGTCAACATTATAAAACACACAACACTCACTTATAAGCGACTTAAAATAGTCGAAAATCAAAAATATTTAACAAATAAACAATTCCAAGAACACAACCTCAAATATCGAACACTAACGTCGCTAACAAATAAATAAATAAATTACTATCAACATAAAAAGGTTTTTTCTACGCCAGTGGCGTGACCCTGTTGTTACTAAGAGACGTAGGTAAACAATACATAATTTTGTTTCTGCGACTATGATTGTTGCAACTTCAGCTGGCTTCTTTTCTCCTGAAACGGACTCTATCTCGATGAGCGATAATCGATGAGCGATGATCGATGAGTGATGATCGATGAGTGATGATCGATGAGCGATGATCTATGAGCGATGATAACCGACAGGCGATATAATAACAAATGTACTATAATAAATGAGAATGTACATACTTACTAAAGATTAGAGCACCTTCGCACGATCTCACCATACATTTATATCACATCGATTGACATTCATTTAACAATCACCTATCGATTATCGAGGCATCTTCCGCATGTACATACGCTTATGATTAAGACTTGTTAAAACTAATGGAGAAGAATATAATTCCAAAGTAATATTCCTAATTTTAAAAGAAACCTGTAAATGTTCTGTAATCAATACTTTTAAAATTTGTAAAGTAGTTTAGGATAAATATTTAAAAAATAATCTTTATTTAAATAAATGTTTTTTTAATTTTACAACCAAAGAATTGACAGTTGTTTATTTAAAAGTACTATCAACTTGTCAATGTAAATATGTTGTAAAATAATGAATTGTTTTTGTTTTACATTCTTAATACTTTTAAAAACATATATCAAATTTTAAAAATATTTCCATGCCAATGTTAAAGTATTTTCAAGAAAAATTTCGGAAAATTCACAAAATTTTCTTTTCAAAACAGCTATTAATAGAAAGTAGGATATTTTATCAAAGTAGTGTTGTACAATAATTTCCCAAATTCATTAAAATTGGGCAATATTTCATATCGGCGATTAAACACTCAAATTATAATCTGTTGGCGGAATTTTTAAAGTAATTTTTTACAAAACTTGTAATTTTTATTGTCACTTTTCTTGAAAACCATCGATAAAAAAATATTAATTACTCTATTTAATGTAAATTCGTAGGTATATTATATTCAATGTAAAATTTTATGTAGTTAGGCCTATTGGCTGTTTAGGATTAAATAAATAAACTAAGTGCACACACCCATGATCTCTTTTGCCTCATATTTTTTTTTAAATAAAATATCAAACACTAATAAAAACATGTCTGTCATAAATATCCCGAAAACGGCCCTGTGTCCGATCTAATTTTAACTAACAAGCGTATTGTCCGAGTATATTGTTGTCCTTTTCAATTCATTAAATCATCTTCAATTGTTTTTGATTGTTCAGTCATGTGTTGAAACGGCATCGACTAGAAGACATGGAAGAGACGGTCAACACTGTGAAGAATTATTTCAAGAAAAAGACGCTGCTGTCGACGTCTACGACGGAAGACGTTTCGAGATCCGGCGTTCCTCAGCTCGGTTTTAGAGTGTCGTTTTGCGAGAGCTCCAAGGAGCTGAAAGTGAAGGTGATAGGTGCTAGGCAATTGCCTACTGATTATGGGAGTGTTAGGCCGAGAGGGTATCTAGTAAAGGTGAGTCTTTTTGGATTCTTTTTTTTATAAAAAAAATTAGGTACTGCTATGAATGATTAGGAATTTAAGTAATCTAATGAAAATTTGATAAATTTAAAGTACGAGGCTCATTTTCCTAGGGCGGCATCAGGGAGGGGCTAATGGGGACATAGCCATGCTAGATTAAAATTAAAACATGAGGCATGGGATCACCGGGGTGATTTGAGCGTTGGTACACCTCTAAAAATGCAAAAAAAAACTTTTTAGAGGTGTTTTTGGGATAAAGGGTGCCTGAATGGGATTGGGGATGTACCCTTTTCTAAGTCATATTTAGATAGTAGAAAACAAGCAGTTGTTCTTCCATCAGGGCGATATTTCAAGTAAACTTTCAATTAATAGCGGTGTGCCTCAAGGATTGATTATGGGACCGATTTTTTTCTTTTTTATATTTTTTATTAATCTACTAAAAAATATTATGCAGAAATTATAACATTATTTGCAGACAATACCACTATAATAAAAGAGGGGGCACGTTTTAAATGTTAAATACCCTTCAATCAGAATTTGACGAAATTTTGATGATATGTTGTAGAACTTGACCTATGGATATTCCTAATTTTCTGAACACATTGTATGATTTATTTTGCAAAGTGTAAGTAAGCATAAACAAACTATATACAAGTGTATTACATAACATAAATTTCATGAAATAAACAAGAATTACTTGAGAGTAGAAGAGATATAATAATATTTGAAAATATTAATTCTACAATCCTTAGTTTTGAATCCTTCTCACTCTGTACAGCTGTTTACTTGAGGTCCAGAAGAAAGTTGCCTTTAAAGACCTGAAAAATAACAGTACCCAAAATCAATGTAAATAATGCGAGGTGCTTTTCTCGAACAAGGCATAAGCCGAGTGATAAAATCACATGAGTGTGAAAAATCACTTTTACACAAGTGATATATAATATTTTTTCCACAACAACAAAATAATTTCATCAAAATATGTAAAACCAAGAAATTTGGCTATAGAGATTCAGTCAAGATGTAGCTGGATCTAGATGAGTTTTTATTTTATATAATTTATTAAATAAATTTTAAGGCGTAGTATGGTTGGTGTTTTGTAGAACTTAAAAACATTGTGATTCCATTTATAAACACTTTCATAGGATAAAAAAGGAATAATAGAAAATATTAGAATACATTAATATATTTCGTTAGTTTATTTTTTTAATGCAACAAATAATGTTCTTGTGTTCTTACCTAGAATAAAATGTATAAATAGCGGGTCGAAGAACCAAAATAATAGTGATGTCAAATTTGTTTTTTGTTATTTTTGACACTTACATAGAAAAAATAAAATAAATCTCCTCTAGTAATTGATTCTGCGAACAATTACTACTTCATTTGTCTCTGTCTATTGCCTTCTGGCCTTCTGCCTGGTCGTTTTTCTCTTCTTTTCTTCTCAAATCCAGAATGCATAATTTGTTCACAGGACGTCATAATTGGTTCCCATTAGCAGTAAGAACATCGACTACTCTTACTTTTCCGTCCTTGGCTGGATAAAGTTTCACAACTTTCCCTTTTGGCCAAAGGTTCCTAGGATTGTTGAAATCTACAATTAGGACTATATCTCCCAGCTGAATACATTTTTTATCTGAAAACCATTTATTTCGTTTAACCATGGAAGGAAGATATTCTCGCAGCCATCTTTTCCAAAATAAATCAGAAATTTTTTGTGTAGCAAATTTATATTCTCCTCACTAACATCAATACAAGGCATTGCTGTGTAAGCGGGACCAAATAGAAAATGATTTGGGGTTAATGGTTTGGGGTCATCAGGGTCAAGTGATACGTGTGTAAGTAGTCTTGAGTTTAAAATATTTTCAAGTTCCGCAAGAGCTGTTCTCAAAACATGTTCTTGAGGTGTCTTGATTTTTAAAATTTCTTTAAGAATTTTCTTGACTTTCTGAATAAGTCTCTCCCATGCTCCTCCCATGTTTGGGGCTTTTGCTGGATTCCAAATCCATTTAATTCCATTGATGCAACAAAACTTACTGATCTCGGATTGATTTAGTTTTAAACCATTGTCGCTGAACACTGTTTCAGGAAATCCGTGTCTTGCTCCAAATTGTCGGAAAACATGCATGAATCCATCAGTACTTAAATCATGAGCAATTTCTAAGTGAATCGCTCGAATTACCATGCAGGTGAATATAACTCCATAACGTTTTTCTCTGCTCCTTTTAACTACAACTTCTAATGGAGCAAAGTAATCTACTCCAGTAAATTCTTTCCGTTCTTTGGTTTCTTTAACATTTACCTTGCCATTGTTTTCCAAAGGCCAGTTTTCTGAATTTTCTAACAAAAATAATGGACCATTAGGCCACCTACTTTTTGAGGAAAAGTCAATAGTTTTAAAATATTTCGTAGCTTCATCAGCGACGTTTGATTTGGATTCAACGTACCTCCACTCCGAAGTATTTGATAGCTCCTGGATTTCACCAAGTCAGTGAGCTACAGATATCTTAAAGCGTCGTGTTTCTGATCGAATCCAATGAAGTACGGTCTTTGAATCTGTCCAAAAAAATATTGAATTTAATTTCAAATCCAAATTATTTTTTTATAAAATGTCCCAATCGAGCTCCCATCAAGGCAGCTTGAAGTTCCTGTCTTGGCACTGACTGTGGTCGTAAAGGAGCCACTTTAGTTTTGGAAGTTAGAAAACAGACCTTTACTTCTGTTTCATCTTGCCATCTAAGATAGGCTACTGTCGCACTAGCATTTTCAGAAGCATCACGAAAAATATGAAGTTGTATTTGGCAATTACCTCTGTCAAGTTGGTAGTATTGTCTTTGTATTTCGAATTTAGAAATATTTTTTAAAATTTCTACCCAATTATTCAATTTTTCCAATAAATGATCCGGAATTTCGTCATCCCATTCAATTTTTGACCTCCAAATATCCTGAAGAAATATTTTACCTTGTATCATAAAGTTAGATATAAATCCAAGAGGATCAAATACTGACATTACTACTTTTAAAACATCACGTTTTGACGGTCGTTTAGTTTTGTCAACTATACTTTTTCAATTTTATAAAATTTTGTTTTAAAATAAAATGTGTCTTTGTCAGGGTCCCAGAAAACACCTAAGATTCTTTCCGTTCAAGGGTCTAAAGATTTTTGACTTTCTGCTAGTATAGACTTGTCTAAATGACTGACCAAACTTTTTTTGTTTGTTACCCAGTTACATATATCGAAGGACCAATTTTCTTGTGGTCTTATCTAGAAAAGAATATATAAATCCCTGGTCGAAGAACCAAAAGTAATAGTGATGTCAAATCTGAATTTTTTTATTTAAGACACTGACTTTCATATATTTTTTTACAATCCAGTCAACCAAAACCAACATACAGAGTATTCAAATTAAACATAGAAAAAAAAATAAAATAAATCTGTAACAAATAAAGATAAACAACTATGAACCAAAACTTTTTTTATTATTCAAGATGATGCCTACTTCGCTCCTTGCAATTTTTTCTGAAGTTTTCAAAATAGGAAATAAATTGTCGTATATTTTCAGTTTTTATATTTTTCCAAAATTAAAATAAGTTGCTTTTATCGGGGGCTGAACCCGCGTGGCAAAATTCAAAGTTGATGAAGTTGAACCTTCCACGCTCTGGACCATGAAGTCTTGTGCCAAATGATCAAATATGCGTATTAGCCAGAAAAGGGAAAATAAATATAAACTTATATATTCTACATACAGACAATCTAGCTTTTCAGTTTAAAAATTACCCTCATTGGTTTTCCATTTCAACCATAAACGTAATTAAAGGAAAACTAAAGTTTCACTCTCGTTGGAAAACATATAATAATGATTTAGACTATTTAACATTTAAAGTTTTACGTGGCAATTTAAAATTTCTAATAGATAAAGAGTACAAAAAATATCTAATAAATGTAGAAGAAAATATTGTTCAGAATCCTAAATACTTTTGGCAATTTCTAAGAAACATAAAAAAATTAAATATAAAATCTTTAATTTTCTCCTGAAAAGGGAATGCCTATAAATAGGTATTCTAATAATTATTATCGCACCATATTCAACAGGGTGTAACTAACTTAGAGTATAACATTTCGTAGGTCTGATTTTTTATAGATATGCATTTTTAAATTTCATAAATTGTTTCTATTGTTGGTTTTTTTTTAGATGATAGGATTGCGTGTTTGGGATCACTTAAACAGCTATTTCACTAATTGCAATGCGGATGTTAAATATTTGTCTACGCAAACAATAATTAAACCTTAATTATCATAATTTATTAAAGTGGTTAATTAACCACCGCTAAAAAGGATGATAAATTGCCCATTTTTAACGAGATAATTTTCGTGCGCTGGTAGATAATTTTAAGTTTTAAAACTGATAGTTATCAATGTATACAATTTACAAATATATCCTAGTTTGATTAGAAACTGTTTAGAGTCGAAATAATTAATGTGTATTTTTTATAAATATACAGGAACTCGTTAAAGTTGGGAATAAACTATAAATTTCGAGGAATTTCTCTGATTAAATTTAATTAGCCATAAAACACACTGGTGACTGGCGTTTCCAAAATTAGTTAGTTAAAGTATACCACACCGCGAATGTGTAAATAAAACTTGAAATTTAGTGTAATAGACAATAAAAATCCAAGAATAGAGGCCTTTATTGTAACAGGTTTTAATACTTTTAACAGAACAGTATACAAATTTCTAAGTATTAAGATTGTTCTACGTTTTTCATTTTGACAAAGTTGCAGGTCCTGCATCCATTTTATAAAATACCTTGAACGCAACCATCTTTTTGTTCGTGTAAAGACAAATTGAGCAGACAACCGCGGTCCCATCGAATCGCAGACTGTGCTAGTCTCGAGCGCGCGCAGTGAAGTTTTTTCCGATATTTTATAACGCATGCATTTCCACTTAGTGTTCTCGAGCTGTGCTCGCTAATAATGTGTTTGCCTCCTTTTTTTCCCAAGAATCTCGGGAGACTGTGATGCGATCGAGACTAGCACTACCCACGATATTTAAGGGCACAGTTTAACGGTATTTTTACTAAGAAAACCAAGGGTTCACCACTTTCGCTAAATGTATTTAAATAAATATTCTACCAGCTTAAAGTATAAGGTTTAGAAAATGAAATCTTCTATTTTTTATTTGTCCTGTTTATATACTGAATTAAAAAAAAATTATAAAAACTGATTTTAAAATCAAAGCTAAATAGTAGGAAATTTCATTCTACATATTTCACTAAGTATCCCATCAAAATATTTCTAAATTTTGTTGGGTATTTTTCAAATCTAAACGGAATTACGTTTAAGAAATATTTGAGAAATTTATTTGTCAAAGTAGAGATTTTCTATGAATACCTGTAATTGTCTAGTACATACATCCATTTTTAAGTAGATGTCACTGGGAGATTACCATATAAAAACAATATTACCACCATAGGGGAAAGTGAATAAATGGGAAACTCAATGGTAAAGTTTGTGAATATTACTTACCATTGGTGTCAAATAGTGCAACATGCATTTTTCTTAAGGCACTTATTACAAATTGTTTGGTTATCCTTAATATGACGATCGCATATTTAAAAGGTATGTAGTATAAATTGCATCACTACCAATATCTGGGAGGGCTTTATGTTCGTTGCTGAAATCCATCTCCACATCTTTTGAAAATATGCTTAAAATTGGAAGGTATTAAAAAATAAATCTAGATGAATCAAAATTAAATATACCTTCAACTGCAATAGCCATTTTATTTTTATGTTTTTAATTTTTCTAAGTTTAAAGTTTTGCTAACAACTGATATTTCGATACGAGCGCCATCTAGTTGATTGGAGTGGTACTAAATTACCTTCCTTATGTTTTTCCATTTGAGTTACCAGCCCCTGGTTACCACTCTGTTTTAGAGATGGTTTTTGTAGTTGAATGATTGTTTAGAGGTACCTATTTTTAAATCGGTGATATGGACTAACATTGTGCCACATACTTTGATTACTATACGGGGCAAGAGAGAGGTCCGACACGCCCAACATAGGGCGCGGCCATTTTGATGCCTTTACCACAGTTTGTAGCTAAAGAATCAGTTCGCTCACTCTGCGTCGGCACTTTTGACCTTAATGTTCCAGTTTATACACTGCGCAACTCGGATAATACAATATATGACAACCGCCTATAATAAAACAGCAGTCCACTGCGCATCCTGAATTTGTATCCCTGGAGTGGATGTTAATTTGGAACATTCAACTGGTCCGAGTGAGCGTACTGATTCTTTAGCAATAAACTGTGACTCGAAAAATAATATTCACTGACACTGAATAGCAGCAAGCAAAATATTAAAAATATTGCGCCAAGATGTAGGCAACACGTAATAAGGCATCAACATGACGAAGTTTTCTATCTCCTTTTAAAAGGCACTCAGAAAGCTGCGCGTGCAACCATTCTCCGTATAGTAAGAGACAATCAAAGTATGTTGACGATATTACAGTACTCAGGGTTGAAACTTCATTATTGGAATGCTAGATAGCGTTGAAGTAGCTATATTACATATATTATGCATTAGTACTTTTCATCATCTATATTTTGGCAGATAGCAAAGTAATAATGTACCCACTGTCGATTCTGTAACGTAGAAGAAGAAACAACAAATAATTACAGATTAATCTGGTCCATATTTGAAAAATAGCTTGTAATATTTACTTAATTTTTGAAATTACAATTTTATTTAAAATTATTTTGAAATTTAAAATTTATTACCATTTTTATTTATTAATACATAAAAAATGGGGAAAACGGGGGCGGTAAATTTTTAAATTACGTGAAAAATGTTTCTCAAAAAACTACCTATCTTTATTGTACTATATTTACTTTTTCTAATTTGCCAGGTGGTTTTCTACCCCCAAAAACAAAAATTCGAAACGAAAACGGCCAAAGACTCATGGCCGACGATCAACGAAGAATTCACCTGCATAGTACTCCCCCTAAAGAAGATCGACGACTTCTTGAAGGGCTACTTCGTCTCGTTCACGATCTACGCCATCTTGGGCAAGGAAGAGGAGGAGCAGAAGCAAATGGACCAGCCGAGGAGCGTGCTCAAAAAGTACTTTTCCTTCACCGAAGGCGAGCAAATATTTTCGCTGAGGAAGAGCAGTTTCAGAAGATCTGGTAGTCAGAGGAGGAGTAGTTATAATGGATGTTTAAATAATAGAAGGACTGTAGGTCAGTGTAAATATTTCAACACCACGTATCTTAAAAACTAATTTTTAAAGGGTTTGTTCTCCTGTATAGTAATAATTTTTATCAATTGAGGCAGTGGTTCTCAACTTGTGAAGAGCATTTCCCTTGGGAAGTGTTTTCTTGCCTCTAAGACTTCGTGTGAAAAACTTGTTTTTATTTAGAAATAAAAATATTTCAAATATATTTTACTTATTTTCAGAAACTGCCATTTTTACGGGTGTTTTTAACTATTTTGAACAAATAAAGGTAATATTTAAAATAAAAATAATGTTTACGTACTCATCCGCCTAATTATCTTTCAGCTAACACAAAAAAATGTTGACTTGATTTAGGTAAAGTGTTTATATTTAAAACGTCTTAGGATCGATAAAGAATAATGTTTCTATTAAAAATGTTTAATCACACCCTGTTTGTCAAAAAGGTTGGCAAATTTTATAAAAAAAACTGAATCTAGTTAAGCAGGTCTAGCAAATTAAATTTAATATACAATTCAAAATTATTACAACCAGTGGCGTATACAGAGTTTAAGTCTGGGGTGGGGTAGTGGTAATAATATTTATATCTGGAGGGCTAGTGGTAATATTTAAGACTTTATTGTTCATATTAATACATTTTAGTACCTATAAAAATTAGGTTTAATAATTCTTGGGCGAGGTAATTACCCCCATTATCCCACCCGTATATGCGACCCTGATTACAACACAGATTTGAAAATGGCTGATAAAAATTAATAATTTAATAAAAAAACTATGTTTGAAAACAAACTCACCTGTATATACATATTTATAAATCAAAATCACAAAATCTCAAAATTTCCAAAAAGTTTATTGGACACATGCATTTTTCAAATAATTAGATCTGAAAGAAATCTAGGATTTTGTTGATAAAACAAAAGAGACTGCTTAGCGATTTTTGAAGAGGAAAAACGTATTACTTTTTCCTTCTAAAATAAATCAAATTAAATTAAAAAAAAAGACAGAAAAATCCAACTTATATCCTAAATTTTATATTTCTGTGTATCTAGGTAATTATTAAAGTTATTTTCTGTTTGTTTTAGGGGCTGTGACTTACAATTTAGATAGGAAATTTTTTACGCAAAAATTAAGGACCGGTGTGATAAGTACGCCTGATATTTGGAGGAATGTAGCGGAAATTACCAGTGGTTTCCAGACTCAACCAGTAAGTTTTCTTTAGTAACAATACAGATTTTTATTAACAAACATGTACAAATTAAAATTTACAAAGAGTACCTACATACCTATCTTTTATAGTCATACAAATTACTTATTGTACAAAAATAATTTATTGACAACCATATATGTAATGTTGTCATTACTAACGTCATTGAAGGTTGGAAAGTGTCACATTACAAAACTTTACTTCCCGCCCTCATTTCATCTATTCTAGATGAATATTTTTTATATTTAAAAAAAAATAACACATTTTTTTTGACAAATTTTATAATACCTATTTAATGGCAAACAATAAAAAACAACAATGAACTAAAATACAACAAACTACTTATTGATATTTATTATTCGCGAATTTAATATCCGGCTTTATCTGACATTTATTTATATTGGTGACAGTTGTTTACCCCGTAATCCCAGTAACAATATATTTACTTGATTATTCTGAGAAAACCGCGCGCTTGGTAATTTGTCGTTAAATGTAATATTTCAAGTATGTTCAGAACGAAAGAGAGATTTATTAACTTTGATCGAAATATGATGGTTGTAAATAGTAGGAACTTAGGAAGTTTAATTCCTGTCTCGAGATCATAGCTAACCTCGACGCTTCGCGTCTCGGTGATCTAACTAATCTCACGACAGGAATGAAACTCTACCAACCTCGGTGTGTAATATACTATTAAAAAATTAACTAAACATACTCAATATTGAAACTTCCTAAAAAATCAAGTCTGGCAAAAAGCGAGAACGAAATATATCTAAAGGACTAATAATTCATGACAATTATACAGGGTGTCTGGAAAGTCAACGATAATACTGAAAGGGGCGATGGACCAACTCATAAGCTTTCAGAAAAACATAATATGATATGATATGATAATAATATAGTAAAAAATTAGTTAAAATCGTCCTCTTAGATCAGATTTTCGAGTGTCACTCCTAAAAAAATGTATAATTCTTAGATTCTGATTTAGGTTTTGCAACTGTGAATAGCCAGTTACTTAAACAAAGACCAACATGGAACCAAAAGCTCAAAATATTCAATAAGAAATCTTATTTTACAGAGAAATAATTTATTTTTATTTTCCATCACTCAAGTTTAACACCTCATACTGTACAAAAAAATGGTTACACTAACCTGGCTAGTGATTTGAAAAGTTTTCTCATTTAATAAACTTTTAAAAACTACCCATTGTTCTAATAAACAGTTTGACTTATTGACTTACAGTGAAGGATATACCTAATTTACCTTATGAGAACATTCTAAAAATTAAACAAAATTAAATCATGTTAATAAAAAATGTATTTAACTTAAGAAAAATAAAAAAATTAAACAATATGTTCAAAGTGACCACCACCAACGCCGCGAATGTAGGGGCGGCATCTTTTTAAAAAGACCCTCTTTATCCATCTTGCATTTCTTGCCAAGTTTATCTATTGGGCTGCATCAGTTATTAGCTGACGTATTACTTATTACGTATATTACTTATTGGTCTTGCATAAACCTTTTCTTTTATGCAACCCCAGTAAAAAAACCTAGGGGTTTAGGTCTGGAGACCTGGGGGGTCATAAACTTGGACTTAGTCGGCCGATCCATATGTGGGGGTAGGTTTGATTTAAATACTTAAATACCCACGAACTTCATGTGCATAATGTGCCGGGCAGCCATCATATTGAAACCACATTCTTCGGCGTGCGGCCAAAGGAACATCTTCCAAAAGAAGCGGTAGGTGGGTTTGACAAAAATGTAAATAAGCTTGCCAGTTTAGATTTTCTGGTAATTCGAATGGGCCAATTACATGTCCGTTTAGGGTACCAGTCCACTGGTTTACTTTGAAACGGTACTGGGACCTTTCTTCTCGAATGGAGTGGGGATTTTCCAACGCATAAGAATGCAAATTGTGCATGTTCATAAAGCCATTCTTTTTAAATGTACTCTCATCCGATCACGGTACATTGTTTATAAAGTTCGGGTCCTCTCTATTTTTTTGCAACATTCTGCGGCAAAACCGTACGCGTTGTTCGTAGTCCAGAGGTAGCAGGGCTTGTACATGTTGCACGTGATATGGATGATCTCCTAGTGATCTCGTTTAATTTATATACATATAAACTTATTATTTATTCTGTAATTATTTTAAATATACATATCATACTATTTCAACACTTATTATTCTCTCCTTCCCTTTTCAAAACCTTTGGTCCGAGCATTCGTGAAGCCTCGACGTTTCCACCTCTAAGGACTAGAAGGGAACCGTTCAAATATTACGTACGCAGATTTATTACAATTATTTACCCCCCCCCATCCCCCTTGTCAGCAAAAGTAAGCAAAGCTCATCCCCCTTGTCAGCAAAAGTAAGCAAAGCTCCTCCCCCCATGCTTACGTAAACATTTTTCAATTATAAATGTATTTTTTTTATATTATAATAATTATAATGTTATAATTATAATTTTAAAAATAAGAAAATAGATTTAGGATAGAGATTAGATTTTACTAATACAGGATTCGACATAGAGTAAGGGACAAAAATATTATAATTTAATAACAAGCTTATTTTAAATTTTTGGTACGCATATTAAATTCAAATTAATAGTCCTCAGTCCATGAAAACCGAATCCATGATTCTAAGTTTTAGATGACATTGGATTGCTTGGATTGCCGCTCAGTGTTGTGAGTCTGCTCACTTTCATCCGATTTTGGAATCTCTACGTCGTTTTCATCGAGCCATTCAACATCATGGTGCTCTAAATTTTGAATAATGCACATCACTTCATTATCACGACGAGTAGCGACTCTTACAGGTCTAACTTTTCTATCAGTGTGCGTGTTTACTTTTTTATGGATCTTCTCGATGTGACGATTTAGTGACTTGACGGAAGCATGATAAAGACCACACGTTTTGCATGTTCGACTTGATAGCCTCAATTTTACCGTCGGACAAAAATAATCGTAGGACATTTGCAGGAAATCTTTGAGTGAAGCACTTAAGCGTAGAGCTAAATTGACTGGAAGATCAAGAAATTGCCCTCCTTCATCCAAAACCAAGTCATCAATTGTTTGTTTTACTTTTACAGGTGGTGGAAGAAACCTGTTGTCTAGTCATCTGAATAGGCCACTTCTTGGACGATAGCATTCTGTATTTCTACATTTTACAATTTGAAGCAAGTATTGGCTTTCACGTACATGTTCTGAATACCATTTAATGTCTGGAAAATCAGGAAGATCTTGTTCACCTGCCCCAACATATTTTGCAGTAACATTATAGGCATCAATTTCCATTGAACTCCATACTTCAGCTAATACATTTCCTGCAAATTCGAAATTAGATATTTCTAAATGTTCATCAATTGTAACGCCACGTTCATTCAAATGAGACCCAAAATGGTCATGAGGCAATATTAAACCAGCCAGTTTTCGACTAAGAGGAGCCATTCTGCGCTCTACTCTGTTATACGTGCTTCTTCCAGGAGCATTGGTAGCTAAAAACAATGCATCGAGATCATGTCGATTAAAGTGTTGTATAGCAAACCCTATGACTTTTTCATCTGACCCTCCATCAACCATCATGATTACCACTGGTTTTAGTAGTCCATGGTCAGTTTTAGCTAATGGTCGAAACTCTTCAAGTTCGAGAAGCGTCTCGAAATCCTGAGCATGAGTATTAGCAGTAGATAAACTATGCTTTCCACTTTCAATAGCGATGTATGTTGGTCCAGAATATCCAACGGCTTGCGGTTGTCCTAGCATACTGGAAGTGATTTTGATACCAGCATAAACAGATGGTATTAATTTATGACGCTCATCGATTACCCAATCGTGGTTAGGCAATTTGATTATATATTCTATGTGCATTAGAAGAGGTGCTTGCTTATTTGCCACAGTTACGCCAATAGGGACTCCAGCTTTATCATATTGAGATATGAAAAATACTTGATCTGGTCCAAGTATGGATGCTATATTCTCTAAACAATGGATTGATGTTTCAGCGAACTTGCTATTCTAAGTTGCTCTTGTGGTGATCAGTTTGAGTCCGAATGAGCTTAACAGGGACTGTCGATACATGTCTTCGTCCCTCTGCAGAATTAGATTTTCTGGGAATCAAACGAAGATATATCTCACTGCGACTAATGTCAAATCCTATTTTACGTATTTCTTGTGTGAGGTCATCAAGAGTTTTTCAAGATTTATCAAGATTCCGTTCTTCTTCTATCATCTGCTGCACTCCCAAATAAAGCTATATCCGCAATTGTTTTCAATAGTGATGGTTGATTGCTTTTAAGATTAGGACGTACCACTGAATCCCTCAGAGATAGTCTTTTTTTATTTCTGGATTTTCATGACAAATATCTTCTAACTTTCTTTTCATACCATCCCTGTGTTTCTTCTGGGCAACTGCGTTTTGAATATTCCTGTTCAAAGACTGTTTTGCTAATTTTATTTCCTCGCGCAACATAATGATCCGTTTATCAACTTCAGCACGGCTTGGCTTAGTATCTCTAGCAGAATACAAAGCATTCCGATTTTTTCGAGTAGAGCAATCTTATTTTTCATAGCTTCCTGTGAAGGTTTTGCTCTCTGTTTATCTGCATTATCATTATTTTCGCATTGCTGTTGTGATTCATTGCCGGGTTTTATTTTATCTTCTTCCTGTTTTTTAATATTTTTACACTCTATTCAGTTTGTATACTTTTAGTAGCCAATTTATTCGCCTTATAATCAAGCTGTTGAAAGTAGCACGTCTGTGGGATTCCTAAATTATAACAAATAACTCTAATCCCAATTCAATCCAACACTGAAATCTTGTTTTTGTATGAAGAAATATCGAAAACCACTTTCCCTGAAATTTTAAATAATCTCCCACTTCTTCTGTTTAATATTTCACACTTTTAACTAATTTGATTTTTATCTAAAAAGTTTTTATATTAAATTGGATAATTTATAGCGGAACAATTTTAAGTACCATTATCGTTTTTCTAATTTTATCGATTAGT